ATGAAGAGATGCTGTCCCTTCATTAACATACCCAGGCAGACAAAAATTTAAATTTTGACCACATTACATTCTAGCTGCATCTCCCTCCACACACCCCCTCCCCTGGATCTCCTGAGGTCAGTAAGCCCAGAGAGGTGCAGGTGAAGACTGTACCTCATCTACTTGGTGCTGTGTTTGCTGAAGACGACGATTACTACCAGAGGCAGCGTTTGAGCTTCCAGTGCCACTTGCTGACCTGCAGAGAGAGTTGTAGTTATTTTATACTGCATCCCTAACTGGGACAAAAGACTTCCAGACAGATTCTATATGCAAGTCACAGAAAATGGCTCAGCAACCAGTCCCCATTCTTAGTAGGATGAAGAGAGAAATGCAGTCATTGCTAGTCCTTCAATGGGGTTCTTGCAACTGCCAACAAGAATAAAGCCCCATCCAAATGCTCTAAAGCAAGGATTGAGGGTAGCCTTCCTGCCACTTTCAAGCACACCAAAAATAAAGAACGAGAAAGCAGCAGGATGAGGCACACCTGAGCTTCCTTGCTTCAGCTCCAGTTCTGGAGTGCAAGAAATAGAAGCCAATGGCCAGGGTTTACATACTGGCAAGAGCCTCAATAACAGACATTCCCTCAGAGCAGGATTTCTCATAAGTTTGTAGTCTTTAAGCAGCAAAGTGAAGTTAGCTACTGGCAGAGTTTCCAAGTTTATTTACCACCAGTGCGTGGCTGTAGAATCAGTAGAGGGCAAGCAGAGGCAGACTAATACAACAGCCAAGAAGGAAATGAGATAAGCAATAGCTCACATTGCTATCAAATGCCAAGAACTACAACCCATTAATATTTTTCTCCCTTTTGAAATAAGGGCACATGAATTCAGGCACATTTTATTATTTGAACTTGGAAGTCCAATAGCTGTCAACAGATATTTAGATCAATTTGTGGAAAAAAAGATGGTTTCAAGTAATTACGTCCATGCAGCATCTCCTACTAATTAATAATTTTCCTAGGTCACTAGGAAAGAAAGGCAATTCAGTGCTAGATACTTCAGAAGACAAAAAGCTTCGTAAAGTTACAAAGCTTCCCTGAGCCCAGTTTTTCCCCAAACTTCAGGTAGCAAGTGACCGTCTTATTTCTTTCTACAACTTCAGAACTTCCAAGTGAATAAGGGTATAAAAACACAGCAGGTGTTTTCTTTCTCTCTCATATCCTTCCTAAGTTAGGGGAAAAGCTTCATTCTCAGTATGTCAGTTTACTCATCTGCTCAACTTTTATTCCTGTTATGAACACCAGGTGCCTATACTCCAGTGCAGAGGCTGCTCTGACATTCTGTAATTACAATACAGCAGACTCCATTAATGGAATCTGGAGTGCTAATTACCACACTCCGACAGCCAGCTTCTGTCTGGTATATCAGTGTCCCTGCACTTCAAAATGGTGGTTAGGGCACTTTATCTTCAAACACACCCGGTTGTCATTTTGAAGCGCAGGGATGCTGATACACTAGACCCTCCAGGTACTTTAATTAGAGACCCTTTAATTAAACTCCCCCCACCCCTGGAGCAGATGTAGAGTGCACCGTGTTTAGCGTTCTGGTTTACTCTGTTCCGGATCCAAGCATACTATTACATTCCCCTTAGCCAATATCAACAGGTAGCCAGCACTCAAGCAATTAACTTTTTCTAGGAATCTTGAAAGCAATATCTGCAGTTAGAGGTGACTGAACTATCCCTGACTTAGAAATGAATTCCCACTGGGCTGCGCGTGGAAGGAAAGGGGAAGGCTCAGGCCCCTTGTCAATTTGCAAGGGTGGCTATGCCGACCCCTGGGGGAATCTTCCCCGAGAGTTGGAGCCCAGCACTGACAGGACTGGTGCTACCTTTTTGAGTACACAAGGTCAGTCCCAGCGCCTTAAGTCTTTCACGCAAGCTGGATGCCTCTTAAACAGAAAGCAAGACGCTCTGGACCCCGCAGAGCTCGGGGCACTTCGGGCGGGAGCGAGAGCCCCTAGCAACGCTCCTACACGCAAGGAGCCATCGCAGCCGAGGCCCACGCTCGCCATCCCCAGCCCGGCCCCTTGGGACCAGCCTGTCTCGAGAAGCCTCTTGCGTGAGGGTGGGTGTCACGGGAAGGGACAAGCGGCTCCGCGCCCAGCCCAGAGCTCGGTCGCGGGGACGCTGCTGTCCGCCCCCACCAGGCCCCAAGGAGCGCGACAGGCAGGGCCTAGGGCCGCCCCCCAAGCCCGCCCGGAGGAAGCCCAAGGACAGCGCCAGCTCCCGGCCCAAGACACGCAGCGACCACGCCGGGTCCCCACGGCCCCTGCCCTGCCCCGCCCCGCCCCAGACTCACATGCTGGCGGTCGGGCGGATGGCCTCCTGCGCACCTCACAGGCTGCCCGGGGAGCAGCACCAAGCCGGAAGTAGCGCGCAGGTTGGACAACTGCAGGATATGACGCTAGGGGAAGAGCCTCTTCAGCCCCCGCCACGGCCTGTGGGAGGGGCCTGGCCTGGGCCGCTGTCGCCCGGGCTGGAGTAGGACCAGCACGGCCGAGCCCACGGTCAGACCGGCGCCGCCCACGCTACCCGGGGTCGACCCGAGCCTGCCGTGCCGCCGCGCGCGAGCTATGTCCGTGTGGGCAGCCTCCCCGTCGTCACCCATGCTGCAGAGCGGGCGGTCCGGCCGGCGTGGCACGGAGCGGGGGCCAGAACCGGGCAACTGACGTGCTCGTCTCGGCTGAAGGGCCTGGGCTCCAGCGCGCCCGTAGCGGCTGGACCTGGCTCAGGAGGAGACTCGCACCCCCATCCAGCACACCCCGCCTGTCCGCCGAGGGTCAGTGCTGGGCGCAGCAGCCGTCCCCCAGGCTGCAGGCAGCCCCTTGAGTGTCCTGGGTCCCACGTACATGTTGGTGGGGTGGAAGGTTCAAAAGTGCCTCGGGCCTGTAGGGAGCCTGCACCCCCTCCCCCTACCTAGCTGAGGGCTTGTCCTGTCAGTAATGGCTGGCGAGACACTGCCGTGTTAGTCTGAAGTCAAGTAGAAGGCAAGACAGTGATTACAGTGCCAGCTTGGGGGCAGAGGGGGGTGCACTTTGCAAGTAGCAGTGAACTCCAGCACACTTTGTGTTACTGTGTGGGCCTAGCTGGCAGGCAGCCTCTGCACTGTAGCACCCTCGTGCCTCAGCCAGCCCTGGTCACCATCTACATGTGTGTTTTGGCATCTGCAACTACTCCACTGTAAGATAGTATTTGTCTCAGACAGTACTATCCTACAGCAAAGTTAATTAGTTTACTGCCCCCTAATAGAGGAGCACAGGTAGATGGTGATGCTTTACTACAGAACTAATTAGTTAGCTCTGTGGTGAAGTGCACATGTAGAAGCACCAAGGGGTCATCCAATTTGGTCTTGCAGCTGTCTACATTTAAGTGTAGGGAAAGCTAAAATCACAGTGTCTTGGCCCAGGACAACAATCTACCTTGGCAGGTTTAGTTGTCTGGGATCTCTGCACAGTCTGTGAGGACACAGATGTAACCTGGTTTGACCAGATATACATGTTTGAATCATGTGACTCAGGACCAGCACACCTTTTGGGTTATTTATGCTATAAAAGCAAAAAAGGATTATTTCGATTACTGAGGTCTGATGTAATATAATTTCCCAATATTTCCAATAGGAGAGGTACTGACTTTTGTTTGCAGAAAGTTAAAAATTGCTAAATGAAATATATATTTTATTATTATATATTTCCATTACAATAGATTCTAAAGGCCTTAATCAGGACTGGAGCCATCTAAGTGCTGGTCAAATATTCCTTAATACTTTCTTAAGCTCCTCCTGTTCCATTTTATTCTGTTAACATTCATACATCTATAATCTTCCTGGATGTAGGGTTCAGTTGCTCCTTCCTGCAGGGAAGTGTCATTAATATTGTGCAATAGAAACATGAGCACTTGTACCCTGGTTTGCATTGGAAAGTGTACACTGTGAGTAGCACATCTCAGTCTGGAGAGACAGTGACGGTCATGCCTGGAAACAGTGGGCCAAATTCATCCCTGAAGGCATGGATCAAACCCATCAACATTTGATCAGTTTTCAGTTGTTTTCCGTAGAAATTATTCTGCCATCTCATACAGCATCATGATCTCTAGTATCTGACAGACACTAGTCTCTGAGCCTGGCTCAGAACTTATCTCCCCTGACTGTTGGCTTCAGGGGAGTTAAAGCAGGGATGAATTTGCCCCCACATATTTTAAATACAGTGAGGTTTCTAGGGGTTGTAGCCATGTTGCTAAATGTTGCCATGAGACACATACAGAAAGGGAGACCAGCGTCCAGGACGGCGAAACCCATTTCCTTTCTGCTGTAAAAGCTGATTCAACAGTCAAAAGACAAACTTTTACCCCATAGCAAAGGGAACAAAAAAATGGAGGAAGGAGCCTTATCCAGCCTGTCCCACTACTGCCTAACTAGGAAGTGAGATGTGAGGACCATGCATTCTCCCTGAATCTTTTATGGCAGTGCCCAACACCAGGCTGAGCATCTTTGGGCTGATCTGAGATCTTAAAACAGAAAGATGTGGTAGGCAGTGCACTTCTGAGTAATTACCTGGAACTCTTGGGGGCATCAGAAGCCAGAAGTTGAAAGCCCAATGAGTTTAATACTTAAGAAGTGTCCTGAAATGTGCTGGTCTACCTACCGGATGGAGGGTACACATTACAATCCAGAAGAAAGACAGATCAAGAGATTTTAAGGATAACATTCTCTCAGATGTGAGTGCCTGGACCCACTCAGTCCAGTCAAACCTGCATATCCACTACATAGCAGGATTTGGGTTTATGATAGTTTTAAAAAAATCAAAAAAGACAGCTGCATTTGAAATCCAGCCAGTCAAGAACCTGAGTGATGTTTGCAAATAGGTCATGTGACAGACTTGCTTTTTAAAACGCTAACTATAATTACTCAAGGAAGATGCAGCTCCTTCTTGGTTAAAATGGAAGGTTAAAAAACACACACTTAGTATGGGGAAATTTTCTTTGTTTTTAATTTACAGCAGAAAGAATATAAAGCATTCAGAAAACATTTTCCATATTTTAAGGGCAATTCAAAACATTTTGCATGGTTCCAGCAGCTGAGTTCTTCAACAGATCCATTGATTCAGTGATGCTTTACATGCACAGTTACAAAAATAAAACTTACAAAAGAGAGACATCTATACTAGTTTTACATGCAAGTTTTGGGGACTCCCCATCGGGCGCCAACTATTGTGTGGAACTGCTGTAAGCGTGCAACCATAGAGGGGGTTCATGTTATATTCTGTATTTCTTTCACACAGTATTACTGTTTTCAGATGTGTTACATGAAGGAGCAATTCCACTTGCAGGAGACAGAAGATCCTGCTCCTGGCACTTGGGAATCCTGATTTTCCCAGAAAGCTGCACTATCTTCTATTAAAATATGAGTTCCACAATCAAGAAAAGGGTGAATAGAATCACTTCACTTCAGTGGGACAGTGCATTTAACTCACCAGTGGTCACTGATACACTGAAGACTTGTGACCTGACATGGCAAAGCACTTAAGGATATACTTAACTTTAAGCATGTGAATACTCCTATGGAAGCTAACAGAATTGCTTACATGCTTGATATTAAGCATGTACTTATGTGTTTGGCTGAAGCAGGGCCTTTATCAGTAGATACATCACAAGGCCCATGGATTTGGAAGAGTAACTTGAAATAGCTCTGTATATTACTGACTCTGTGGGCATGTCTACATGTGCAGTTAATGCTATTTGGCTTTACTGTGCAGTAAATTTACTACGCAGTAAACTAATTTACTTCACAGTAAGCAGTGACACTTAGATTAGTAGACACAGTAGATTAGCCTATTGCGCATTAAAGCATCTTGTGTAGACATGGCTTCTCAGTACAAACGCAAGGGGTTAAATACTGCCACTGAGGTCATTACTCTTTCTTGTTAGGAAAAGATCAATTATATGTGCCGTAATACTGGTAAATGGGACAAACATATTCAAAGTGTCAGAATTCTTCCAGTATTAATACAGAGCGTTCCAGAAGGAGTTTCTTTTTTCCATTTCCTGTTCCCATTTTTTGTGTGTGGAATACATAATGTGTATTCCAATTCAATAAAATAAATTGAAGTTAAAAGGCTGCCACAGCCACAATGTGGGAGCCAGACAATTTCTCTTATTGAATCAGATCATAAAGCAGCAGTTCACAAATGTACAGAGTGTTCTGATCATGAGCTATAGCACATACACTGTAATTCAATGCTGGCAGTGAAAAGAAGTAATTAAAAACAGGTACAATTATAGAAAAGGCACCAAGAGCACTGACCCCAGTTTTTTTGCCACAACCTTTGTCTTTTCTTTTAAAGACACCAGTTTAAAAGCTTATAATCTGTGATATTTTTAGGCTTCACAACAAGCCTTGCAATTAAAGATTTCAGTTGGTGGCCTGGATCAAGTAAGAACAACTATTCTAAAACTAACTATCTAAAATGTACACCAATCATTTGGAAATTTTAAACTGGCACGAGCAAAATAAACACACAGGAGCAGTTTCTGATGTTAGCTACACCTGTGTAAACCCAGAGTAACTGTGCCAATTTCAGGGGTATTACTCCTGATACGTCCCAGTGCAATTAAGATCAGAATCTTGCCCATCCTGTTCAAACTTTACGACAGTTTTACATTAGTATTTCACTTTTTAAAATATCTGATTTCTTTGGCTCCTCTCTATGTGGAAATAGCAATATACCATGACACCCCTACAAGATCAGTTTGCATCTTTTAAGTTGTTACTTATTTTTATTTTTTTTTATTTTTGTGCAATTTTTATTACATTTTCTGACTTCCAGCAGGAGATATGAAAATGTGAAACATATTTTCTACTTTCATACTATTTCTTTTTTTTTCAGTTTATGTTCATTCTAAGTGTTCTTTATTGGAGTGAGTGTATGGTGTTAAGCTAGATACGATTTTGTATTCTTATGATTATCTGCTTTGCGAAAGTAACTTAATTTTTTTAAGCAATATTAGCATTCACATTACTTGGCACCATTGGCAAAAGAAATACAGAAAGAAAGAAAAATAAAATAAAATAAAATAAAATAAACTCCTGGTAGCCAAAATCAAATGTAAACATATCCTTTTTTTAGTAATGTTACTCTGCCTTTTTTCCTAAGTCTAAATACAGTAGCTCTTTTTTGCCATTTAGTCATGCTTTAGCAAAATGTTCTTCTAAAGAACATTTAAAATAAAGTTTCTTATAGTGAAATAAAGTTTTTGTTTCATTTTACAGACCATAGCCACTAATGCTTTGCTTTTTTCATTTCTTTTTTTCTTGAATTCATGCACATATCTCTTTGTTTTAATATATACAATATGTACAAACAATACATCCACACTCTTCTCGCTCATTCAGACAAAACTATACAAATAATAATTTTATCTTGCCAAGTTATTGACCCTTTGTGAATAAAATATTTAGTAATTAATCAATATATTCCCTTTCAAATATTATTTCTCATTTTCCATTTCTACCTTCTATATATACAGAAACTGCCCAGGTTTTGATGAAATAGCCAAAATAAGAAATTTACTGGCCAGAATGCAGCACCACTCTGATCTTTAGGTGGTAAAAATGTCCAGGCAACATATGTATGTGACTCTGTAGAACAAGAAATTTAAAGGTTACTTTAAAAAAATCCCAAAAAGAACATACTACATGCTTTACAAATTATTTTAAGAAAATAATTAAAATATCACATGAGAGTAAGGCTAGAAAATAAAGTGCTGAATATGAGAAAAAGTACATGACAACTGATATACTTGCAGGTTCTAGAAAAATACCAAAAAGAAACTGTAAAACTTGATCGAGCTGCTCTCTTTGTTTCCCATGCATTACCCGTTTACCTTGGAAGCCAACCCCCTCTGTAAATTCCCCAGGGATGTATTAAAAACCTGCAGATTTAAAAAGTTGCATTAAGTGTGCTGTAGAGAGATTCAAACAAAAACAAAGGACAGAAGTACGAACAAAATGAGAATGCATGGACCCAATAAAGATTTACTGATCTAAGCCCCTCCACTGAGAATCCCAAAGCTTCAGGTTCTTGGAGATGCCTGACAGGTGCAGGAATAGCATTCTTGTGTTGCTTGTGCATTCCCAACTTTTCTTAACAATATTTTTGGTATAATATTTGTACAGTTCCACACATTGTTTTAATACAGCCCTATGTGAAAAGGATAATTAATCGCTTCTTCTTTCTGAGAGAATGAAGCAACTCACAAATTCCTCCTGGTGTCTTTTATCTCATGATCCAACAGAAGATTGAGTTCCAAGATGTCTTGCTGAACAAATTAAAAGTTGTCCATGAAAGTGCAAATGCAATGACCAAAACATTACTGTTAAAATCCTGCAGCTGATCCTCCCAGACCTGCAGTAGGGTGTTTTTTGTTGTTGCTGTTATATGTCTCTGCTAAAAACAGAAAATGAAAACAGTCTGAAAAGCAATGTCACATTGCTACGGGATGCTGCTGCGTCTCTTCAAGTTCCTTGGCCTTTTTCAATTCTTTCACTCTGAAAAAATAAGAAGGGACAATGTAACACTTCTATCTCTAAACTCTTCCAAAGGAGAAAGTGAAGGGGCTTCTTTACTAAAACCTGCAGTATGAAATAGTAACCCCCCCAGAGAGTAGAAAAAGAGAAGCTCCTGCTACAACAAACAGTTGGGACAGAGGGAGGTTGAAGACTGAGAGAAAACACATTCATAAAGAAGAATTTATCTTTCACAACCACTTTCTGAGCCACTGTTTACCTCCTAAGTTCATTCTGGCATAGACTTTATTTAGTTACATGCCTTTTTGACTGCTTTGGCACTCCCTATGGATCAGATCCCTTGGGTAAAGTGCCCTTTTATTAACATACACAGTACCTTACAAATCAGCAGAGTCTGTATATGCCTCTGTGCATGGCGGTTAAATTAGAACCACCCAAGTTTAGGGAATATGCTTCCTCTTCATATCGTCTCAGCTTCACTGCCAGCCCTTGCATTTTCTGATTGTAGGATGGACTGGCATTAGGGTGACCACCAGTCCCTAACTGGGTGGGACAGTCCTGAAATGTGAACATCAACTCCTGGTCCCAGGTTGAATGACTCCAAGACAGTATCTGTCCTGGATTCCCAGTATTGTACAGGGATCTGGGTTCTCTGTTCGCTATGGAAAAAGACAGGAAACAGTGACTTTCCCCTTGCAGGAGAGCAGCTCCCTGCAGGTAAGTCTGTGAGGGAGCATGGAAGGGGGCAGATTGAGGCCCCTATGGTGAGGGAGGGAGCAGGACAGAGGCTGGGGGAGCTGTCCAGCCAGGGTGGTGCATGGTGCCCAGGGCTGAAGCAGGAATGTGCATGGGGCCAAGCTGGGGGAATGGAATGGAGCCATGGGTGGCTCATCTGGGGGCACCAGGGCTGCTGGCTCCCCAATGCTGCACATATTCCCAGAGAGGAAGGAATGGGGAGACACGTGCCTCCCCAGAGTTGTGCATGGGGTGGATGAGGGCTGCCTGCTGTCGGCTCAGGTCTCCCCACCCTGCCACCCTTCCCTCGAAGCCACTGCAGTAGTGCTGTGGAGTAGTGCTCCCCACTGCTGCCAGGTGGGCAGAGGGCACCTTGCCATGGCAGTACGGCTGGTGCAGGGCTCCTGGGGAAAGGGCAGCAGGGTGGGGAACCCCATGGTAGCCTGCATCCTCCCCTGCCCCCCATGGGCTCCACTTGGCTCTGTTCCAGCCGTGCCACCAGGGGTGGGGGCAGGAGGTGGACATGTGTCCTGCCTTTCCATTTTGAAAAGGTGGTCACCCTTGCTGGCACAGTCAGGGCCACTGCCTGTTCACAGAGACTAACCTGATGTGCCAGAGGGCTGCTCCTGATACTCAGCACTTGGCATAGGACACCTACATGCCGGCTGTGACCACCTACATGCTGGTTGTGACAAATGCAGACAGTAAATTGTTTATTTGCCGAGTTCTGGCGCACCTGTTTTTGGGAGTGCTAGGTTCTTATTCACAAAGCTCTAGCATGTTGCTTCCATAATGCTGTGCAGTAAAAAAAATCATTTAAAACCAAGCACTGAATGCCTGTGTCATGCCCAGAAGAGAGCAACCTGCCTCCTGGTGCTAATGGGCACTTGCTGTTTGTTGCTTATGATACTTTTCATTACAGAGAATGGGAAAAATAAACAAATGTAGCTGCCCAGCTCTGACTGGGGTAGGACACAGGACTTAGTCAAGCTGCTGACAGAAAACCAAGACTCAGAGGAGTTGGTTCTTAGTTCTCCAAGGGGCAAGCATGTGTTTCTGTCACAGCTTTTTGTCTCCACTATATAGTACCTTTCAATCTAATTCCTCTTGGCCAACTAACAAAGAGGGAGCTGCACAGCTGTTCTGCAGAAGTGAGCTTGTTCATTGCTTATGAGTTATGAGTACAGCAGAAAAGTGTGATCTGGCATTTCTACACATACATTTATACACATGGGCATTTGTATACTTCTGTTCTTTTAGTTTGATGCACATAACTAGGAAACCCCATTTTACTCTTTCAGGCTATTCTTGGACTCATTTTCATGAGCCACTATGATAGAGTAACTCACTCAGAAAAACAAATAAAAAAATGGCATGTTACACATACAGATCAGAAATGTCCTGTTGGAATAAGCTACAATATACAGGTATGTATTTATGTGAAAAAGCCACCTAACTCTGCATGTTCTAGTTCTGCTGCTGAGTAGTGTTCCTACCAAAAAGGTGTAATATGACCCAAATTAGCAAGAATATACAGCAAGTTGGTGCCTTAAAAGCACTGAGTTAGAGACACACAAGACAGCAAATTCAGAGATGCTGTGCATCATCTGCCCTTCTGGGTGGAAGAAGGGCTACAAACGAATCTAACAGAGCATTTGTTTCATGTAAATTAGGTGCTGTGGGGGCTGGATGATAAGAGTGTAAGAAGCACAGCAATTTAGAACAGTATGTAAGTTAAAGGAGGATTCCACCAGACCCCCTTCTTTTGGTCTCTATACCAGCTTGGCCTTTACCTCTTAACATCAGTGTGTAACGGACACAGATTTACACATCACTTCCAAATTTGGTCCAGTAAATAGAAGTTTCAGCTAATCTGATCTGGATTAAATCAAGAGAGACTTGGACACCTTAACCACGACTTGAGGGATCCAAATCTATACTGTATATCCTCAAAGCCCCTACTCTTTCCTGGAGGCATTCATATCCCCCTGGCACCTTGTCCACTAGTAACCCTTCCCCCCACCCCACACCCCATACTTATATTTCTCCTGCTGGGAAGGCATAGAACCACCTAAGCAAAGCTGCATAACCCCAGGCTGCTTGGCACCCCATAAGATAAACAAATTTGCTGCTTCCCCCACCTATCTCCCCTGCCAGCCCCAACCCTGTGGGTGGTCTCAGTGCACACTCAGTCCCAAAACAAATGCAGCGGGTTGGGGAGGAGGTTGGTCAGAGAGAACGGGGTTCCAGGGTCTGCTCCTGTTAGTGTTTAATTTTTTCTGAAGTGGAACAGACTCAACAAAAAGAAGCTGAGAGCTTCCTACCCCTTCCCATGAGGGCTGACAGACCAGCAACCACAGTGCTCTCAAGGGGTGGGAGGTGAGGTCAAGTCCTTGGGCTGGTAAATTCCACTAGGGGAAAGGATACCTAAGCTGGAGGTAGTGTGATGTTGATCCTAAGTCCCTGCAGGGAGTCTAACCCTGAGGATGGAATCCCAGCAGCAAGGAGGTTAACAGATGGAGCAGCCCCCCGCCCCCGCAGTGCTTTTCTTGTTACCAGAGCATGGGCATCATTCTCCACTGTGTATCTTGTATCATGGCAGTCCCTCATTAAAGTCAACCTCTGCATCTTCCTCTGCAACTCTTTCTTGCTCAGTAACAACTATTCATTGTTTGTATTGCTGTAGTATTTAGGAGGTATAGGCAGGGACCAGGACCTCACTATAATAGGTGTTGTAAAGATGTGTGCTTTTTTGCATTTAATGCTGAGGCTAATCACAAACAGGCATCAGACACCATTCCTGATGCATAATTTGTAGTGCAACTTGCACATTTTTTCAACTGCACCTCTCACCGTAACACAGAATTTACCTGTTATTACTACAGATCTCTTATTGAGAACATGCACAATTCTTAAGCTGGTGGCTCTTTCACTAAGACATGCTGTATCCATACTTAGCAGTTCAACATGCAAAGTCTACACTAATGGAGCACTTTTGCTGGAAAAATGCAAGACATGCTGTGCTGCCAACTTCAACCTATGACATGCAGTATCTGTACTTGTGCAGACCTAGTAATTCTCTCTCTTGAACTGGCATGTGTATGCTATTGTAAATTAATTACTGAGTGCTTTCAATATTTGCACTAGTACAGATTCTATTCACAAATATGCAACACCTTTCTTGGTGAAAAGAATCCTGGAGAAGTGAAAAGGTTTCTAGGCCTGTATAAACTTTGGAACTGCAGTGTTAATTGTTGCTTAAGGAACACATCTGTACGGAATTTGCCTGAATAGAGCTTGCAGGTTGAAAAGAAAGGGCAAAATGTCCCAGTTATAGGCCATTGAGACTCATTAGGGCAGTGGAGACAGGACTCTGTTTCTTTAACCTCAGCACAAGAAAGAGGTAATGTGGTCAGCACCATGCTTCAGCCACCTTTGTTCCCTTGTAGCTCCTGGTACCCATTGGATAAGAGGCTGGGTGGGCCTCAGGGCTGCACTGGAAGTGGAAGCGATGAGTGAAAGCCTACCATTCTCCCTAGGCTCAAATCCAAGTTTTTCTAGTCCACAGCCAGTCAACCTATTAACTGAGCTACATGGCTTCCGAAAGAAGAAATGTACTGACAAAAGAGGCTGCAGAGTGCTCAGCTGTTTCCAAATACAAGTCAAGTGTGCTTTGCAATGCTACTCGGCAGCATCTGCAAATCTGCAATGCAATGCTAATCATAACACTATTTGAATTTATTATGTTTTCCACATTTTCAGAACTAACACTCCATGTTTAACCAGGAACTATGTTTGGGGATGGAGTGTAGGAACATGTATGAAGTACATGTAAGCAGTGGCAAAATTGTGGCACAGAACCCACTGGAAATTTAACACTAAGACTGTCTTGTTTCTTCTGACTTTCTTCTTGGTACTAAGGGAGTACCCTGCTGCAAGGGAAGGGTCTTGGCCAGAACAGAACTGCTGGAATGCTCCTGCCCCCTTTGCACCCTGCCAGTGTCTGTGCAGAGCTGGAATGCTTCTGGCTCTGGCTACTCTTGACGAGTTACTGGCACCCTAGTAGACTGTTTTCAACCAGTGTTTGAACAAAGCTGGTGTAGCTCGTTTCTTGCACAGCATTTGAAAACTTACCTATTTATCAGATAGCTTTGGGCTGGTTCACTCAGGGTAACAAATGTTTCTTAACAGACTGTGTTTTTGCCCAGAGGTCCACTTAGCACCCTTCCTTCTTGTCATAGGTAGGGTATGCAACCCAAATCCTTCAGAACCCCCTGTGGTAGATA